CTGAGCTCACCTCTAAGAGCTGAGTTGAGCTGAGCTGGCTAAACCTGGCTTAGGTGGGAGAAGCTGAAGGCACGTACAGAAGGAGCTTTGCTGGACTGGACGCGGCAACATGCTCCGCCCTGGGACTTCCTCTACTTGACCTGTGCTGGTGGCTGCACTGTGCTGGGTGGAAATGCATTAGCTGGGCCTGGGTGTAGCTGGGAGCTCCGGCTGCCCGTCCTCCCCTTCAAAAAAGAGAGCCAGGTTTGGCAAGGACCCAGAAATTTCACCGGGAATGTTCTAATTGTTGGGGGGGCCAGGTTGTAAAGTTGTTGGACCAGTGATCAATCTCTCAATCTCCAAGGGCGAAAGCGAACTGAACCCCCCGGCAGAAGTAGGACACTCAACGAAACTGGTGTGCCGTCATCCCAACAACTATACGCAGGCCGACAGGTATTCCCACCACCGGCCGGGGAGCGATGAGCTGGATATTCTATGTGATTTTTGCAGCCACACTCAGTCACACATGATCGATACATGGGCTTGGCACCCCCCTTGGGCTGCATCTTTTGAGGAAGGCGTCCAGCAAGGCTGCGCCGCTGGGCTGCCAGCTTCCTGCCAGCTTCCTCCACTGAGGCATGAAGAGCCTCTCTTGTCGACCCCTGGACGATGAGGAGGAGCTTCCGGTTCTCTTCCCGAGGCTACGAAGGGGTCCCAGGGGTCCTCTGGGGGTGAAGAGATGGGCCACTCAAAAATCCGATCCGAAACGCCCCAGACAGTGCTGGTTTTCCGGGCAACGCACCTGGCGGATCCAACGAACGCTTGAGCGAGAGCGAGAGCTCGCACGCTGCTGGGCGAGCCGGAAAATGGAAGAGGATCGAAGGCACACACCCCATCCTTCCGTTCAACACGGTAAAACGTATGATTTTGAGGCCCCTTGGCATGTTGCTTTCCGGGCAAACCCCCCCAGCCCCCAACATGTTCCTTCTACATGGCACCTGACCTAGGACCATTTTCCCCGATGAATGGAGTGGCTTTTTGTGCACCGCTGGGAAGGCCTCTCCAATCCAGATTGCCCTACGTTCGCGTCCCCAAGGGAGTCAGCTTTGAGCCCTGTGCCGGAGAGTGGGAGATGCCCGGCGCAGAATGGGAGTGCCGAAGAGGATGGATTTGTGTTTGAAGATATTTTGGTCCATCAGCGGGTTTGCAGCACTTTTTAGCGGTAGCACACAGTAGCAAGCCCTTGAATACCCTATTTGACACATTTGTTTGCATTTGTGGGTTTGTTTGAAGTCTTTGGCCCAGTGTCTGAGGTCGCCTTGACAGAGCGTCGGTGGAGGAAATATAGCAGTTCTCCAGTTCTCCACCCCAAATTCATCACCCTATAAGAATGACATGACAAGTCTTGCCCTCTCACAGGGGTCAGACCGGACCCTCCTTAGTTTTGAGGGTCCGCGCTCACCCTCAAAACTTCTTTCCACATGGTCTGGAGTGGCCTCGGCCGTGATTCATTTGGCTTCCTAGGGTCCGGTCCCACCACGTCCCACCTTGGAAACCAAGGGAAAAAGGCCGAGTTGGACGGGCCGGGGCGTCCGGAGGACCTGCCACTGCGTTGGCTTCGTCTACTTCGGCACCGACACTCGCCGCAGCCCCGTGGTGCGCGCGCCCCGGCGGAGCTGCCCTGCGGGAACGGCCTTGGGGACGCCGAGAAAGGCTGAGGAACTGTTTCAATGGCGTCTCCCAGCAGACTCCAAGAATCCACAAATCTTGAATCATTATATAATATACAATAAATATATATATATATATATATTATATATTCATATATTGGAATCAATTGTGGTGGGCGTGTGTGTATGGTGCAAGCATTATGGACACATTGCCCCCCCGACTCTTCTTCCTGCACGGTGCTGGCATACATCTACTTGCTAGCATTGCGTACTACAGCAAAGCAACAAAACATCACATGAGATCTCATGAGGTGTCTTCAGAGGAGGGGGAGATCCAGTGCAGCAGCCTGGCAGCAGCTTGGGGCTATCAAAGACAGTGCATTTCCGTCACTCGGGGAACACCCAAGAAGGTGAGACCTCTTCGAGGAGGTCTCTTCGACTCTACAAAGTGCTTGTGAGACACATGTCCTTTGTGGTGGAGGATGAGACTTCGAGGAATTCCATGACGGAATCTACTTGGAAGACATCTAGAATCTAGAACCCACGCTGACTCCGAGCATGTACACCTCGTACTGGCTCACCTGCGGACTGACATCAATCAACTGGACAAATAGTATTGCGGCTTACAAATGGTACTGACCGCATTCCCCAAGAATAAAGCAGAAAGAACATGTCCCCAGAAAACCCAGGTATTTTCAGGGGTTGGGTGGTTCCAGACGTTCTCCTTTATACAGCAGGAACCCACCATTTTGAGAAGCTCCGCATGGTTTACACGGTCTGCAGACCGAGCACTGATTGCTCTGCAAGCCAGCTACTCCTTCGATCTGAACGGGACCATCCTGTACTCCTTGTTCTGTATTTCCTCCAACTGTGTGAAACGCTAAGCTTCTCATAACTCATAGCTAGCTTCTCGCGAAGCAGAGAGGCACACCGTCGTTTTCTGTAGCTTCTCGGTCTTTCAATGATTTCAATGAAGGTAAACACCCAGCTTGACCAAGCCCCGATCTTCGCCCTCCGTTTTGCCTCGCTTCGAAGCCCCGATCTTCGCTCCGCAGCCGGTCGCCTAGAAGCTGATAACTTCGAGGGCGACCCGGCGGTGGGGGACATCAAGAAGTGTCACTGCGCCAAAGAGTAATGCGCAGCGAAACGCTGGCTCGCAGACGAAAAAAAGCATCTCTGCAGTGCCGGGCGAAGATGTAGTCACTTCGACGATGTACGTGAGAGGTGCCATCCAAAACACCGCTTGACGTACAAGCATAGCATACACAGGGTGATACTGTATAACTATCGTCTAGTTGAGGCTCAGTATCTTCGCTACCTACCACGGACTGTCATTCAGTGAGGGGACAGGCGGATGTGTCGTTGGCCTCATTGGGCGAGTCTGACACCCTGAGACCGAGAATGCTAAGCCGGTTCGCGAGCGTTGCTTTGCTAAGGGGTATACTTTCGCGACCCCGCAGGAAAAAAGGTAAAACAAGAAAATTTTCGTTTTTTACCGATTTTACCGCGGATACGGTAGAGTAAAAAGGGGCGCCCCCCCGGTAAAAACGGTAAAAAAAGAAACATTTCGGTTTTTACAATTTTTACCGCGGATATGGTAGAGAAAAAAGGGGCGCCCCCCCGGGAAAAACGGTAAAAAAAAGAAAAAAATCGTTTTTTACCGTTTTTACCGCGGATATTGTAGAGTAAAAAGGGCCGCCCCCCGGTAAAAACGGTAAAAAAAGAAAATTTCGTTTTTTTTTTAAAACCATTTTTACCGCGGATATGGTAGAGAAAAAGGGGGCGCCCCCCCGGGAAAAAACGGTAAAAAAAAGGAAATTTTCGTTTTTTACCTTTTTTACCGCGAATATTGTAGAGAAAAAGGGGGCGCCCCCCCGGTAAAAACGGTAAAAAAAGAAAAAGATCGTTTTTTACAATTTGTACCGGGAATATGGTAGAGAAAAAGGGGGCGCCCCCCCCCGGTAAAAACGGCAAAAAAAGAAAATTTCATGTTTTTTACCGTTTTTACCGCGGATATGGTAGAGAAAAAAGGGGCGCCCCCCCGGTAAAAACGGTAAAAATAAAAAAATCGTTTTTTACCGTTTTTACCGCGGATATAGTAGAGAAAAAGGGGCGCCCCCCCGGGTAAAAACGGTAAAAAAAAGGAAATTTTCGTTTTTTACCTTTTTTACCGCGAATATTGTAGAGAAAAAGGGGGCGCCCCCCCGGTAAAAACGGTAAAAAAAGAAAAAGATCGTTTTTTACAATTTGTACCGGGAATATGGTAGAGAAAAAGGGGGCGCCCCCCCCCGGTAAAAACGGCAAAAAAAGAAAATTTCATGTTTTTTACCGTTTTTACCGCGGATATGGTAGAGAAAAAAGGGGCGCCCCCCCGGTAAAAACGGTAAAAATAAAAAAATCGTTTTTTACCGTTTTTACCGCGGATATAGTAGAGAAAAAGGGGCGCCCCCCCGGTAAAACGGTAAACAAATAAAAAAATCGTTTTTTACCGTTTTTTACCGCGGATATGGTGAACAAAAACCGACTGCCCCTGCCCCCGGGGAAAACGGTAAAGAAATAATTTTTTCGTTTTTTACCGTTTTTACCGCGCGGATGCCTCGGATTAACCCCGTAACCCCGGCAACTACGCTAAACCAGCACAGGTAGAATGGACCAGTTTGAGGGGATGCGCAGCACGAGGCACATGGCCACAGAGCGTTGAAGGTGCTATGATATCATGTAGAGTGTGTACTGCTCGGATGCTGCTTACACACCACAGGTGAAAACTGCCCAGCTATGGCCCAGCAACTGCTTCTTCACTTGTGCTTGCTCCGTGGGAGTGGTGAAGCTCCGTGAGAGTGGTAGTTGGAAGTGGGCTGTTGAAACGGCGGGGGTTGATTGTTGACACCACCTTCCTTTACAGCATGGTACCGTGCGTTTGCGGCGTTGGAAACATGCTACGCGCTTTCTTCGCGGCACCTGCGAAAGCTTGCTTGCTCACAGTTTTGGAGGCTCAATTTGGTTTCCAGAGGGCAGGGTCTCAGTTTCAGGAGGAATTGTGTGGGCATTGTGCAAAGCAACTGCAAGCCGACAATGCTTGCCTGATAGAACTGGAAAAAACACACGAACCCTCAAAGGTGGCAAGTGTCCATTGTCCCGGTTTTGGGGTGTCAATGCTGTGGGTCAATATACCTACCAGCAGTCACAAGACGGGGTGCTTAATGGAGGTTAGGGTGCCCATTATCCACTCACTTAGGGACCCAGGGACCAAACACCACCCCTTTGTGACTCCTGGTAAACACCGCTGTTAGCCGTACGTGCCAGGGCCGGGTTCCCGTGGCCGGGTCAGTGACACCTGACGACCCGCCTCAGGTGCCAGTCCTTAATGGATCACTCCGGAGATCCCTTCCGCGAGGTGCGCAAGGATCTGGGGTCGAACGCAGGATTGGAAGAGCATGGAGATATGAGGGAGATGGCTGGCATTCAGAATTCCAGGCTTAAACTCCTCAAGCAATGGTGTTTTGTTAGGATGTCACCTGCTATTTGCATAAGTAAGAATCTTGCCCTAATATCATGTATATATATATATAATATAACATAGTATAGTATAGCATAATATAATACAATATATATATAGATATTTATAATATTCACTCTTTGGTCGCACTATTCACGATTTCCATAATCCGGCAAGCCAAGACTCTCTTTCGAACATCCTCTCACCGAACATCAACCTCCTGTTTTCTCAAACTCTTTTGGGCGTCTCTCCAAAAATTCTTTAGGAACAAGAAGCTACTAGGGGCTCGGCCTTACTACTAGGAGCAAGGACGCTACTAGGAGCGAGGCCTTTTTGGGCGGCCTTTTTGGCGCCGGAAGACACCCTGGTGGGTTTTGCTTAAGATGTTTTTTGTTTTTAAGTATCTATTTTCCCTATAGTTAAATCCCCTTATGTTTTTTTGTTTATATACAGGCTCCTTGAGCAAATCCAAGCATTGGACTTGGAGACTTTGCCATCAACTCAGGTCAACGACTCTGATTCTGATTTGGACCTTGGAACTCTTGGTGCGGTTGAAGGAACAACCCGCAGTCGAAGTCCTTCCCGGTGGTGTTTTGGATGTTTTCAATCAACAATGTTGCCGGGTAGTGGTATATTATATATATATTATATGATTGAACCCGCTGACTCAATCTTTTTTTAAGACAGTGAAACCACCAACCGCCGGGCAGTATTACTGGAGAAGAACCTACCCCTCGGGCCATGGTTGCTGAACGCACAGGTCCAAGCTGCCGCCCTGTGCCAGCGTTTGGGTCTACTGAAGCAGACTGTGGCTCGATTGAGCTGAGGATTGGGGCCGATTGGGGTGACACCTAGAGAAAGCCACAGGCCTTTGGAATACAACCAATGATGAGGGTTTGGTTTTTGGAGGGGTCACACATCAATCCGCTCGGATGGATATCGCTTGGTATCGTTGAGATTTGGTGACCCAATGACTTCGTGGCCGATCAGATGACTTTGAGTACTTTTGTATGGACTGACTTGGCAAGGGTGTATGGGGCCGAGGTGGATTTTGGTGGCAGCAGCCAAGTGGTTCACTTTGATCCTGGCCTCCTGGACAAAGCGCAGAGAGCTCATTCCTCAGATGTAATGACCAGAAGCGGACCAGTCAGCATAGGTCGACACGTGACACGATCCATGGGGAAACGCACGGAGTCAATGCAGTTTTCCCTGCAAGGTCGGCGGGGTGGATGAGCTGAGGAATGTTCCAACTGCTACTAGTAGCTTCTTGTTACTACTAGGCACTTGTTACTAGAAGCGATGCACTTGTTCCCAGTAGCGAACATTGCTACTGGGTGGATGAGGAATGTCTGGCCTAAGGAATGCCACCCCTTGAATCTTCCAACGACCGCTATTCGCATCTTGTGAGCATTCAGGTTCTCCACATGGAGACCTATGCGGAGGTGGGCTCGCTGGTCGGTTGTATGATTTGTTGCTTGATCTGTGGCCCGGCAACATGCCACACCCCTTCAGAATGTAGACGGTTGATGACGGTTGATCAATATGGATTAACAGAATCACATGGTGTTGATGTGGCCAATTCTTCCAGTCCCGGAGCATTCTTGAGAAGCATTCAGCATTCAGTTTAAACATAGCATGGGACCCAAGGAATGACGACATACTGCACATAGGATGACATAGCACCGGCTGGGGCCTCTAAAAATGCATATCAACCTCGGTGTTGGGTTTTCTCCATGGTTTTCTGCCTGATCACTTTGCTGTTTCGGCTTGGTTTTCTTGGATCCACAGCTTTTTGAAGGATTTTGGCATCCCAATCGGCATCCCATGACTTTCCCCAACATTCCTGGTTTCACCATAGAGGTTGGCCAGTGTTTCGCCAGGTAAGGGAGATGGCTCGGGTTCTCCTGAAGAACTTCAATTCCCTCTGCCAGGCAGGGTGGGGATAGTTTCCTGGGACGTCTCGAGGTGAGGATGGTGAGGTCATCAAGACCTTTGTTCGCGGGGAGAGGAAGTGCGTGAACAAATTAATCATGGACGTGGAAAGCTATCTGTTTGTAGAGGACAATGGTCATCCAGACCATTTTCCACTTCCATGATTGTTCCACGGAGTGTGCTGCTATGTATGTTCTGTATTGTTTGTTCTCTTTACGATTGAGCTGGAGGCATCATTTGCCCAAGTGGCGCTCGGTTCAGGTCAGTCAGCGCCAGCGCTCTGCATGTTTGTCGCCAGCGGGGCAGGTGTTGATGCATTTGAATGACGACCAGGTGAAGCTGGAATTGAAGGAGAATGCCGGAGCGACCTAGGAGAAAGCAGGTACAGCCGGTACTGGACTTCGGTCGATTCGGTAGATACTGGAAGAGTATATCGCAATCATCAGGCTTGGTGGAGCAGACCTAGCTACTGGAAAGCAGTCCTAGCTTGGAGGAAGAGGCTCGTCCTTCTTTTGTCGTAAGGATCTGACTATGTGATGTTCCACTTCCAGCGTTAGGGAGGGAACCCTGGCGCACGCATTCGACTGGAACGGCAAATGCAAACGCACAAGCGCAAGCCGAGGCCGAGTTCACGGCAGCCCTACTGCGGCTGGAGCAGGACCGGGACGTGGGAAGACCAGCAGAATTGTGTATATAGATTCTTAAAAAATGCAAGGGTTAATTCTTCAACAAAAGCACTTGGATCATGAGATATCACCCAAAATTGCCAATAGAATATCTTACCTTTTTTGGAGTGTTTTGTTTCGGTTCATGATGATTCCGAATCCTATTATATAATGATATACACATGTCGGAGATAAAGTATCGGGAGTGGGTTGGAGGATTTTTTTTTCAATTCTTGTTCTTTGTAAACAGCAGCTACTGCAATGCCCGCGTCACAATGATACCCGGGGTTTTGCTTTTCATCCAGCCATCCCAAACAGACACATGTGGGGGGGTCCAAGCATGGACATTTCTATTTTCCCATTGGGTGGACCCCCCAACTAGGGCTGAAGATTGGCCCGGCCCTTTGGAGGTCTGGGCGGATTGCCAATTCATCTTGCACCAGGCGCCCCCAGCGCTCTGGGCGGATCAGAACGGAGACTTGCGTTGGATTTGCCGGATGATGGTGTCGGGCGCATGGTGTCGGGCTGGAGGATGTAGGTGCAGGAACTGAAGGGTCCCAACGGCAATGAGGGCAATACAGTGATGTTCTGAAACCTCTATGAAGCCCTTGTTACTAGTAGCTTCGAGCCCCTAGTAGTAATGCCCTTGTTACGTTCGTAGCGATGCACTTGCTACTGCAGCCTGCTTCAGCCCACCGGCTGAAGCAGGGGGACGGCTAACGGACGGGGGACGGCTAACGGACGGTGCACCGGACGCGTGAGCGCCGCGCCGGTCCAGGGCTGCCTGGACTTTATTGAGATTCTCGAACAGGAGGTCCTGCCTCAACTCAGCCCGCAGCCGCTTGGTAGCGGTGTGGCAAGGCGGAAGCAGGGACCGTTGATGTGAGACATGGTGAGGGGCCATCCCCTTTCTGAAGGTTTTGCTTGAAGCCAGCAAGAGCTGAGTAGCTTCAACACGGTACTTCTACAGCCTTCTACAATTGTACACGGTCTATCCCAATTGGCTATATAGTATATAGATTTCACAGGTGTTGCCCGGTGTAGCACAATGCTCTTTCAAGCGGTGTTTTTGAGGGTCACATGGATGGAGATAGAACGCCTATATAGTGTGAATGCATTTGACGCATCCTCCATAAGGTAGTGAGACCTCCAAACCAAACCCACCCGCCAAACACCTGTTTTTTGGAGCTCGTTTGGAGCTGTGAAAAGGCCCCTCAAGTGAGCATGAACCTTGGCGCGCGCCGTGTCCGGACGGAACTGGAGCCGGACCGAAGGACAACGGACCACGGCCACCCAGGTTGAAATGGCAGATCCATTTGGCGCTCGAGATGGAGAATCCAGGCCTTGAGCGTCCTGGGCGTCTTGTTTCTCTTTTCCTGGCTGAGAGTTCTGGTGTACAAGATTGCCAACTGGAGGATATATATATATATACAGTATATACTATAGAGTGAGAGAGACATCACCAGAGAAAGACCGATAGAGGGAGTGGTCCAGTGTGCTTGACCCTGCTCCCATCCATGGGGCTCAGTCAGTCAGCCGCTCGGAACCTGCTCGTGGAATCCCAGTTCTGCCGGACCAGGAAAGCCAGCCGACCCTACGGACTGACGACCGGGGGGGGGGATGCGATGTTGTGGTGCCCAATGGCTTGTTACCACACCCAGCGGTTTAGGGGAAGCCGGGCTTCGGCGGGCGGAAGCTTCGGCCCCAGCGCCAACTGCTCTGCGGAACGAACATCCGCTGCGTTTGGGTCGCAACATGTTGCTCAAAAATTCGACAACGTGTCCCGAGAGTTGCAGTGCCTCAACACAGGGTTCAGAGGCTCTGTTCATTGCTTCCTGTGGCAATTCTGAATATTCAATCCGTTTTTCTGATAGGTCATTGCTAGCAAGAAAAGGGTTGTGACATTGCATTCTCACTCCAGGTGGCTCTGAAACTTCTTACCTTGCATGAGATGCTCGACCAATGGATGCGTTCCAAGCAATCTGAGGGCGTTCATGACCTCTTCATTCCTCCGCGTGGTCAAAAATGTTCATGTGCAGCCTTTTGGTCGTGGATTTCTATGCCTGTCTGTAATTCTATTCGTTCCCAATCAGTTCCAAGTCTTTCTTTGGCAAGAGGCTTGGACAATCCCTCATGGATGTCCTGTGAAGAAACCAGGGCACCGGAACGGCCCCAGGAGTTGCAGGAAGCACGAGCTGAGTCCTGAGATGGTCCTTCCAACAGGGAGGGAACTGGAGTGACCTCAGACTCAGGGGTACCGGATCCACAGCCGTTTGTCTTCCCTTTTGTTGCATGTTTTTTCCCTCCCATTGATCTCCAACCATGTCTCCTTTTTGGTGGATTCCACTTGGGGGCGGTCTCATGATTCTCATGCCTGCCTCCGCGGTTGTCTCTCTGTTTTGTGCCGCCTGAGGTGACTTTGTACCAGACCGTGCCCATGATGGTGTATGTGGACTGCCCGACTGGTCCAGCGTCGGAGGGTCAGAGGTTTAATGGTTTCGAGGTTGGCGAATCAGAAGGTGGACTGCCGTTCAGTGGAGCGTGTGAACTTGGAAAGGGCCTCTGGCCGCTGCTGTTCTGTTTTTTTGCGCCTCTTGAGAACCGCAACATTACCAAAAGAACCTCTAAACCAGCTGCTTCCGTTCGGGGTCACCAATGGAATCCAATGGATATCTTCACACTACTTACAGGTCTCCAGACAGGGCACCCCGACAGGAAGCGCTAGGTACAGTCAAAATACATCTATATACATCTACATCTTCTGCACGTCCCATGCTGATCCTTTCGCTGCGACCTTCGCCCTTACTTCCTCTTCAATGCCGTCAGGACGAGCTGTGGAAGGATGCGAATCCGACTGCAGGCGCCCAGAGCAGGGAGGCCCAGAGGCCGGACCTATCACGTCGGTAGGTCAAGCAGGGTAATTTATGATGGTCTTCATATATCACTGAAGTGGTTTAGGGGAACATCTGCAGGGGTTTCCTAGTTTTTAGTTTTAGCACCATGGCTTTCCTGGCTTTCCTGTAGATTCTTTTTTATCTTAAACCAATTCTGTGAAGATATTTCTGGGTCACTTCAACGTTTAATACCATTTCAGATATTTTCAGAGGGATTTGGGAGGCACTTGCCACTTGCCATCCATCATCCATCGATTCCCACCAAAAAAGACCATGTCGCGTCGCCCGCGTGGATCCGTTGAGTGCGGCCGATCCGTTGAGTCTCGCTGATCAGGTGGACGGTCCTGACCCATCAGATGGACGGGTCGATGTTCCGTGAATGTCCGGATTGTGAAGATCAACTGGTCTAGGTCTTGGAAAGTCCTACTCAGAAGAGGTGAGAACTGCTTCACCTGAAGCACCCCAACTTCTGCGGAGATGGCCTGAGAGTCCCAAAGCACATCTGGACGCGTGCGACGACCCGCAGCCAAAGCCCCAGAGGCTCAATGAGGCTCAGATGCATCGAATCAATCAAGCGCAGCTGAGGAACACTAGACATGATTCATGGGGTCCCACTTTCGGACAGAAGGGGGCCAGATGTGAATCTTGGAGGAGTCATCATCTAAGATGCCTGCTTCTCAGAGTTTCTCTTTGTATCAAGTGAGTTGGCATCCCCAATCCAAGAAGACTCTCTCATCTGTCTCATAGGAGAGTCTCAAGCAAATCATTCTTGGTCAGGCTGGTAATATGTGATGATTGTGATGTCCCTCTTAGTTCGCTGGCTCTCAGAGAAACGCATCCACTAACACCAGTGATTTGCTACCACCAGGGTGATCCTCCCCCCTTCACCCACCCATCGAAGACCAGCCCGACCTGATCCGATTTCGGGATTGCTGTTGCGCCTTCCAGGGCCTTCCCGGGCCCTGAGTCTCAGCCTCCAGCCCATGGCGCGATGGCACCAGAGGGGGTGCCGCCCGGAACCCGGTCTCCTCGGCAGGTGCGGAAGAGGCCGGGCGTCGCAGGGGGGGGGGGGGGGGGGTTCCAAAGCGTTCCGAAGAGGCACGGGTAGGCACGCGTGGGGGAGACGTGAGGATTGGGTGGGTGTGGTGTGGTGGGGTTTCCACCCCACCAGAGAATTTTTCGCGCAGTAGAAGAAGACACTATATAATGGATCCATCCAGGGGGACTTTGGAAGCTTGCAGGAGGTTGAGCCCTTTTCTTCTTGACGGGATCCTGTGACACGGAAAATCGACAGAAGCCTTTCAACAAGGCTCACGGAATCTGACCTGACAAGTATACACTCGCGTTGAAGGACGACAACACCCATTCTAGTTGAAGGTTCCAGACAGAATTTCTGTTCCACTCATCAAACTCCATGAACTCAGATTTACTCATTATTGACTCACTCAGTGCCTTTTTCGCTATATGGTTCTTCTATCATGCTTCTCGGTGGTACCCCGAAGTAGCGCCTGTGGGGGCGAACTCGGCCGAGCCGGGAGACTCTCCACGACCAACCAAGCCGGCCCTCCAGCCCAGGATCTTGCAGAGCATCTATGACGATTCCAAGCCTTTGCACTTGCAGCAGGCGAACATGCAGACATGCAGAAGTCCGAGACACCCGGAACTTCCCATTCAATTGATGAGTGGTGGTTTCCGTCATTGAAGTATTTGGAGTTATAATATATGTATGTTTTCCAAAGATAAGTTGATAACATGAAACATGATTCATGATCAGGTCTTCCAACTGGACCGTCCGCAGCACCTCACTGCCGCCCTCAGCGCTCTCCAGCGCCGCGCTCGTTGGGCTGACGGCCTCCTGCTGCTGCAGCGCCTAGCGACGGCGCGCGCCGCGGCCGCGGCGAACGCGCCGAACGCGAACGCGGCGGCGGCGGGCGCGGCGGCGGGCGCGGGCTGGGGGAGGGCGCTGGAGCTGTTGGAGCGCCTGGAGAGGCAAAGCTTGGAGGCCGGCGCGGGGGTTGGTGGACTCGGTGGTCTTGTTTCATGAGCAAAGCCATATAATTAGGTATGGTTTGGGGAGAGTTGCTGGGAGAGATACTGTATTTATCTCAGCGTTTATCTCCCATGCGTTCCCCATCAACTGGAATCAACAAAAAGCTTCACACCAAAGGTCATGCCATATGCGGCATCCTAGTACGCCCTGCATACCTCACGCTGTACCACGACGAGGGAAGATCAAGCGATCAGGTTGGGACACATGAGTCATGGGCTGTTGTAAACGGTTAGATGTGAAGTCCACCTTTTGCTGGTAGACCTCCAAGGTCTCGCATGTGAGCTTGGGAGTGATGATGAAGGCGAGCCATTCCTGGTGGCGAGTGCTACGGAAGATGCAACAGATGCTGGAGAAAGGGATGCTTGGGCTATCTTGGGCTTCAGTGAAAAGAGGAAACCATGCAGCATAGTGCACACTCCAACGAACACATCATGGGTAGAAACAGGACGACTCTGTGTTTCGAACGTGGCGGAAGCAGCCGAACGCAGAACCGTAGCGAGTCGGAGGTGCCTTGCAGTGAGGGTGAGTCGGAGGTCACTGGGGAATCGGACCTGATGCCAAGAAAAAGAGATGGGAAATCATGGCTGGGATAGGATTGATTGGGATGTGATGCCGAGATTCCTCGCAAACTTTTGGGAATCTCTTGGGTTGGTCCATGGTTGCCGGCGCCCAGATCCAAGGATGAGTTTGGAGATCCGACATGCCAATGAACTGATTCGGTCCTGCAAAGGCGAAACCTGGCCAAAGGTGCTAAGTGCTTTGCAGATGTCTCTGGAAAGAGGTGCAGAGCCCACAGAGTTTACCAGTAGCTTCCTGGTTTTGCTTAAGATGGTTTGTGTTTTCCCTATGGTTACATCCCTATGGTTTTTTCCAGGTTCCTGAAGCAAATCCAAGGCTTGGTGCTGGCAAAGTTGAAGCAGCAGTGGCCTTTGGCCATTCATCTGTTCCACGACCTGGCGCACCAGCGGCTGCAGCATGATACCGTGAGTGTGAATGCGGCCCTAGTGGCTGCGAACCAAGAACGGCGGTATTCCAAGAACTTTGTGAACGAGCAGCTGAAACTCGCATGACATCCGATTAAAACAACGATCCGTTAGAAGCCCAAATGATGCGAGACTCAGCGAGTGACGCCTGGGTTTAAGCATTCACCAACCATCACAAGCTGGAATGCACATCTAAGCTTCAACCTGCAAGAAGTGCCTCAACATGGCGCAGATTGCTGTGGTCTTCACCTCGGACCACGGCGACCGAGGACCTCGGCGAGCGCCGTCGATTCAGCCACGTGCTCCACGGTGGCGCAAGGCGGACACGACAGCGAGACAGTGCTGGAGCTACTGCAGCGAATGAAGGCCGGGTTCTCGCAGGAGCTTGATAGGTGGAAGGAAGCTACTCCTGCCTCCTGCTGTTGGACCAGTGGGTCAGTGAACTTTTTGTTGTTGGACACCGTTTGGTTTCTAGTTGGTTGGACATGCCTAGGGTAAGGTAAAACCAAGAATCCCAAGGTGATTTTTCCCGAATGCGTAGCGAAGGGTTCTCGTTTAACTCTTGGGGGTCTGGGGGTAGAGCTTTGTTCGCGACCCGTTGCTTCTATGTTCGCAACCGTTGGCAACCGTCCGCAGTAGAGCGCTAAGGCGCTGCCATTGGGGGAAGCTTTTGCAAGTGACTTTTCATGGATGTGTCACGTGTCAGTTTGCGACGCCATTCCATTGTGATTTGCATGAAAATGACATGTCGCGCAAGAAGCGTGATGCATTTCGCTGCACAGGCGCAGGGTTTTGTGAGATCCTCAGTTTGCTACGCAGTTCCATTGGGATTAGCATTTGGAGAGTCGTGTTTTTGGGGTGTTGGATGTGGCCGTGCCATTGGGATTTGCGTTTCAGGGTGTGGCATCGAAGCTCTGTTTTCGTGACAAGTCTCAGCTGAAATGGCGATTTTGGTGGATGGGAGTGTGCTCAGAACGGATCGAAATCATTCCAAACGTGTGGTGTGGTGCAAATTTTGTTGAAGCTCACATGAGATGATATTGTCACTTTTCGCGGCAGGCGCAGTACTTTGTGCGGGTTTTGAGGCATGGAAGTGTGATTTTCGTGGCAGGCGCAGGGAATCGTGAGGTTGCGAGGTGTGACGGAGGTGACATTGCAAGGCAGGCGCAGTACTTTGTGCGCGTTAGACGTGTGGACGCGGAAAGATGCGTGGCAGGTGCAGGGAATTGTGAGGTTGTGAGTTGTGGTAGAGGTGACTGTCGTTGTCTCATTGGGATTGGCGTGTGAGCGGGTGTTGTTTGGAGGGGCTGGAATCGCGAAACTGCTTGGCAGGGCTGCGTGATGTGTGTGCTCCGATGGGTGTTTCCGCTTGACTTTTGGAGGAAGTCTCGTACGAAACGCTCGTTTTGGAGACTTTGACACGTGAGTTTTTGAGGAAGTCTCGTACGAAACGCTCGTTTTGGAGAGTTGACACGTGACTTTTGGAGGAAGTCTCGTACGAAACGCTCGTTTTGGAGACTTGACGTGTGACTTTTGGAGGAGGTCTCGTACGAAACGCTCCGTTTTGGAGACTTGACGCGTGACTTTAGGAGGAAGTCTCGTACGAAACGCTCGTCTTGCAGCCTCGAAGCGTGACTTTTGGAGGAAGTCTCGTACGAAACGCTCGCGTGACTGCTTCTAGTGTGTGGGCAGACCGTGTCGCGACACGAGTGTCCCACAAGAGTGTCCCACAAGAGTGTTCCACAAGAGTGTCCCGCAACCGTGTCCCACAAGAGTGTCTCACAAGAGTGTCCCTTAAGAGTGTCCCACAAGAGTGTCCTATAAGAGTGCCCCACAAGAGTGTCCTACAAGAGTGTCCCACAAGAGTTTCCTACAAGAGTGTCACACAAGAGTGTCCCACAAGAGTGTCCCACAAGAGTGTCCTACAAGAGTGTCCTACAAGAGTGTCCCACAAGAGTGTCCTGTAAGAGTGACCCACAAGAGTGTCCTACAAGAGTGTGTCACAAGACTGTCCCACAAGAATGTCCGACAAGAGTGTCCCATAAGAGTGACCCACAAGAGTGCTTTTGAGAGTGTCCCACAAAGAGTGTCCTACAAGAGTGTCGTGTAAGAGTGACCCACAAGAGTGTCCTACAAGAGTGTCTCGCAAGAGAGTGTCCCATAAGAGTGACACACAAGAGTGCCCCACAAGAGTGTCCCACAAGAGTGTCCCACAAGAGTGCCCCGTAAGAGTGGCCCACAAGAGTGTCCTACAAGAGTGTCCTACAAGAGTGTCCCGCAAGAGTGTCCTACAAGAGTGTCCCAAAACAGTCCCCCCCAAGAGTTTCCTACAAGAGTGTCCTACAAGAGTGTCCCACAAGAGTGTCCC